CCACTACGCCCGGTTTTGATGGGCAGCACGGCGAGCCCGGGATTCCAGGGCTGGCATGGCATGCAGTATACAAGGGATCAAACCTGGATTCTTGCGCTTGCCAGGCAGGTGCTTAGACTGCAGAGTTATCGCCCTAGCCTCTTTTAATAGGGTTTCCCTGACATCACTTTTGTGGTTATCTTCAGATTTTTTGCCTTTATTTAATTTTATTTTGGCATACATTTTTTTGCTGAGAAAGCTCATCTGGATTTCTAGAATTATTGGTACATTCTTAGCATATCCTTATATTTTGTAATCACATAGAGAGACAAGATTTAAATAGCTATATTTTTGCTCTATTTTCATTTTTCTGTATTCTATATTGCTCAGGCTTCCTTGGTTTTACTTTCTTAAACTCATCTGTAGAATAATTAAATTTCAATTTATATCTTTTGTCCTTTCCTGTTTCAATATATACTTTATGGTTTTTCCTTTTTTTTTTTTTTTTTTTTTGGGTTTGAGAACCGTTTTTTTTTTTGGAGGGGTGTGGAACCGGGGATTGAACTCAGGCCCTTGCGCTTGCCAGGGAAGTGCTTATTCCACTGAGCCATCTCCCCAGCCCCAGTTTTTCCTTTCTACTTTTCATTTTGTTTTTAAATGGGAGCACCTAAAATCTATTATTTTATGGAACAGAGCTTTTTCATGTTTTTAATTATTTGCTCTTGAGGACTCAGTTCCTCATTTATGGTTTAGTTTTCTTGGATTTGAATGAAGACAGCATGCAGTCTGAAGAGTTTTTGTTTACTTGTATCAGATGAGGAAGTAGTGCAGACCTGCTTTTGCTTCCTGTCAGAGTGAGCAAATTACTGGATCAGCTGTTTCTACTTGGTTTTGTTAGAATTATCTTTTTGCCAGATATGTACAGCCAAGTCCTGGGCTTTCAGGTCAGGGAATCATGGGCCAGCTCTTCTCTGTGTGTGTCTGGATTTCCCAAGTCCCCAATTCCTGTAGCAGCTGTCCCCCTTGTAGAGTCCTGTCCCGCCAGCACTTGGTCTTACCTGCTTTGTGCTTGTTGGGCAGACAGAAACAGCCAACCTAGGTGAGCCCTTCTTCCTCTGACCATATCTCACACCTCTGTCCACCCAAAGTAGTAAGAGTGTGAGCAGGAGCCCTGTTGGTTGTCCTGTTTATGCTGTCAGATCCCCCGTGCCCCCCTCCTACCTGACAGTGGTACTTTCAAACTAGGGTGCATCGAAGAGGTTGAGGACATTTTCTTGGAGGACTTCTTGGACAGGCTTGGTAACCTGAAGTGAGGGATGAGGGAGGGATTAGGTTAGAGATGTTTCATTTGTGCTCTGTTTTCATTTGGGTCCTGGTTATAATCTGTTGTGGTTCACAACCGTGGCATGGTGCAAATGATGAGAGATTATGCATAGTCAGTATCCAATTCAAACTCCAAGTAGACCTGAAGGAACTGCCCTTAACTGAGACCCCTCAGTGTGAGAGAATCTCATAAGACAGCCCTAAACTGAAATTTCTGTGGCTTTTTATTGACAGAATCAGGAGGGACAAGGGAAGGTCAGGTAGTCTGTTAGTGATTGACCTTAGTGCCAATCTAAGTGAAAGATTGGAGTGTGGGGAGGAAAGGGCCAGAGCATGCCTTCCTTAGAAGGCAGTGTGTTTTCATCCTACTTGGATTTGTGACCTGTGGGCTGTCTTTTAGTCTTAACCATGCATTCCAGGAGGCTCCAAAAGTCCCATAGCTCTGCATATCCATCTCATACACACCTCTGGCCAAATTCTCTCTCAATATCCAGTGGAAAGTGTTAGCAAGTTGGAGATCTTGATAGCTTTTCTAATTTCCATAATTATAGGACTCCTGTCACTATTTTACTCCCCCTCCTCTCTGTCTTCATTGCTTTTTCTGCTCACATTCTTTGGGTTATTTAATTAGCAAGGGTGGAAAAGGGAGAAAGTGAAGGCTGGTGGTCGTCTTGCTAAGTTCATCTAGATGTCTCAATTTGTAGTTTTTAGTGAGTGCATGACATGCTGTCTCACTAATGCAAGCACAATTGTTTCCTGGTTATTGAGCCTTTGGGATTTTTGCAGGTTTCATTGTGTTCTTTGTTCTCTTCTAAACATCTTTGAACAGAACATTTTTTGAGATGTTTCCCTTTGAGTTTATTCTCCAGTATGGTTTTAAATTCAGTTTTACAGCAGGAACCACCCTCAGGAGTATTCTGTAGGACACACTCAGGCATCTGCTGGGTACCTGGCATGAGGAAGATGAAGTAAGGCGGTGAGGCACAGGCTGAGTATCCGGAGGGCTGTACTTCTGCCCTTACCTGTGCGGACACCTGCAGGGGCTTTGCCAGGAGCTTACTGAAATGAGGTCACACGGTGCCCGTATTCTTCCAGCAGTACCAGTGAGGGAAATTCCATCAGCTGAGTGTGACTAGCTTTTATTACTTCCGTACTGGCTCTTAATATATAGGACTCCTTTCATAAACCATATGCTTAATGTAATAGGGAATCTTGCCAGTGATTTATGTTATTACTGTGTCTTGTGGGTAGCTGACCACAATAATGGATCCTAAAACTAGACTCCTTGAACCAGAGGTTTTTAAAGCAAGCTGACTCTGTGTCTGTCTTCCTGGGGTGAAAAAGGGGACAAGGGAAGGAGTACTCTGACAATAGAAGCCTGTAGCTGAGAACGAGCCTTTGGCAGCAATAGATCTTTTTCTTTTCTTTTTTCTTTCCTCCTCCTCCTCCTCCTCCTCCTCCTCCTCCTCCTCCTTCTTTTTTTGGAGTAATGCTCTTGCTATATAATCCAGGCTAGCCTTGAACTTGCTTTTTTTTGGGGGGCGGGTGTTGGTACCTGGGATCAAACTTAGGACCTTATGCTTGCTAGGCAGGCACTTATGCCACTGAGCTATCTCTGCAGCCCATTGAACTTGCTGTGTAGCCAAGGGTGGCTTTGAAGTGATGGAGATTCTCCTGCCTCAGCCTTCCAATTGCTGTACTACAGATGTGTGCCACCATATCTGGCTTAGGTATTTTCATTTATTAACTAACTATGTAAGTTCTGTCTCTTTGCAAGGCCTATTCTAGATATTGCTATAAAAAATCATGAGAACCGAGCATGAAGACATCAACTATGACTCTAATGTATGTAATTTTTGTTTTCAGCATCTTTTATTGTGTACTGTGAAACCAGCTAATGGTTTATAAGAAAATGCAAAAATAGCAGACAGATTGATCTTTACTGTTTATAATATGTACGAACAGTGATTTAGCACCTGACCATGTTTCAGATGGTTGTGAGTGTTTCTTCCATGTCTCTGTTTTCCCCCTCCCGGACTGTATTTGTTGAAGAAGGTGGCTTTTTTTTTTTTTTTTTTTTTTTTTAGATGTATTTGGTTGTTACAGGGTCTCTCTATGAAGCTCAGATTCACAGTGATCCTCCTGTTTTTTAGCCTCCCCAGTGCTGGGGTTAAAGGCATATGCCACTATGCCCGGACTCAGTGGCTAGCTCAGTCAACCCTGGGAGCAGGACTGGCGCGGCATGTGTGGTTCAGGGGATTGAACCGAGGTCCCTGTACTTGCCTAAGCAGGCACTTTAGTTCGCTGAACTATCTCGCCAGCCCGAGAAGCTGGATCTTAATTCTCTTTAGTTTCACATAGTGTGAGTTTTGCTAATTGTATCCTCAAAGTATTATTTAACTTGTTTCTCAACCACTGACATTCCTATAAGTTGATGGTGTGTACAGAGGCTAGTTCAGGATTCAAATACCTTATGTATTTATGTATTTATTAAGCACACTTTTTCTAAATGCAGGTCGAGCTCCTTTCATTAGGCACAGAAGTGTTTGTTGTCTCTTTGTTTTCTTTCCCATAACTTTATTGAGAAACAAATAGCAATGAGACAGTTTCAAATCAAATTGGTGGGACAGTTTCAATAATAACACATTGCATACATTCTTCCTAGTGGTTAATTGCTGTACAAGATGCGGACATGATATCCTATTTACAAACATCATTAGAACAAATCCCTCTCTTCATTAAGAGAATGTAGCTATATATCTATCCTAACCACTTTGAATACACAGATACAAAATGGACATTCATCTGTATCCCTTTTTTTGCTAAGTTCCGTTATTTGAATATTATAGGTGTGTAAACTCAGCAAAATATTCTAAAAGAGTCCAGTAGCCCATAATAGTATTGGGTCTTCCACTTGACTGGCAATGTCAGAAATTGTTGACCTGAGTCCCCTACAGCTCAACATAACAGCATGGCTTTACTTCTTATGTTCGTTTTTATACTTTTCTGCTGTATGGTTAAGACCAAGGTAAAGCAGGACCTATGCAACAAGAGTTGTAGCTTTTGGGTCTGATAAGGTGTTGGCTCTTTGTGATGACTGAGTTGTTAAATGTCCAGTTTAACTTAATTGGATGCAGGCCTTTAATGTTTTCTTTGGCCCAGATGGTGGTTCTTCAGAAAGGACAAAAGAGAGTAACATTTGGTCTGTTCACGCTGTTTCTTCTTTGTTGAAGTCTAATTGTGGGCTGTTCATTGCAATAGTGTTGCTAGAAAAGGAATTGGCATAAATTTGGTCACTTATTTCTCTTGGGCATAGAAGATCTATTTGCTCAAGGAAAACAGTGTGTAAAGGCTCATATTTTGAAAATGCTTTTTGTGTTTTAGAGGCACTTTTTGGTTCTGCTATATAAGCTTTATTTATTTGGTACAGGATCTCACTACATGGCTCGAACTGTAGTGATCCTTCTGTTTTCAGCCTCCCCAGGATTGGGATTATAGGCATGTGCAGCTCAGCATGCCCAGCAGGTGGGTTAAACGTGGCATGTGGTGCAAGGGATTGAACCCCAGTGCCTGTGCTTGCCTAAGTAGGCGCTTAGTCTGTTGAGCTATATCACTGGTCCTAAACCAGCTACTTTTGCTAAAGGTTCCCTGTTGTGTGTTTTCATTTAATTTATGAGGTAATTCTTTTCTTTCTCTAGGATCTCATTTTGCCCAATGGTGGTACTCCGGCAGGCACTTCGAGTCCAGCCTCTTCATCTTCTCTTCTGAATAGACTTCAGCTTGACGATGACATTGATGGTGAGACCAGAGATCTCTTTGTCACAGTTGATGACCCCAAGAAGCATGTCTGTACAATGGAGACCTATATCACCTATAGGATCACCACCAAAGTAGGTTTCTTTGTTTCACATTGCCTGCGTTAAGTGGTGTTGCTGAATTAGGATCCTACCTCCATGACTTCTGCTTTGCTTTCAGCCTGTCTTTACAATTCCAGTTGCCATTATTATAATTATGGGTGTCATTTTTGGAGAGAGTAGACCTACTAAAATAGTTAATAATAATAATAATAATAATAATAATAATTTGGGGATTTTTTTTGTTTGTTTTGAGACAGGGTCTTGTTGTATAGGGTGTAGGTCATGCTGGCCTTGAACTCACTATGTAGCCCAAGCTAACCTCTAATCAGTAGCAATCCTCTTTCCTCAGCCTCTCAAGAGCTAGGATTATAGGCATGCACCACCACACCTGGTGAGAATGAAAGTAATTATATATTTTGAGATTTAAAAAAAAGTCTTACAATGAGGGGGAAATTACTGAAACATTTTAAATAAAATATTTAATACCCATACTTTCATGTGTTTTATGTCATGATGCTATTTCTTTCTTTCTTTTTTTTGTTTTTTGCAGAACCAGGGATTTAACTCAGGCCCTTGTGCTTGCCAGGGAAGCAGTTATTCTACTGAGCTATATCCCCAGCCCCTCATGATGCTATTTAGCATGTGCATATTATGTAACTTTTTTTTTTTTTTTTTTTTTTTCTGATCCTGGGACAGAGTCTCACTGTGCAGCTCAGGCTGGCCTTGAGCTCACTTTGTAGACCGGGCTGGTCTTGAACTCACAACAATCATTCCTGCTTCAGCCACCCGAGTGCTGGCATTACAGGCATGCCCTACCATGCCCAGCCTGCTCTTGAAATTTATGAAGCATCATAGTAGCCCGTATGTTTGTGATGAGAAGACACTGGCTATAATTTGGCCTAATTAGGTCTGATGGTTTGAGGGTAAAGGGGTAAGAGAACTGGGAATGATATTTATTGGTTCTCTGCTGTTAGGGAGATAATGAGCAGAGTTCTGAGATTTAATTAATTTTCACAGCATTCCTAAAAAGTCTGTTAGTTACAATTTTACAGGTGAAAAAACTGAATCACAAAGCTTGACGAACTCTTTCAAAGTTATAGAACTGGTAACAAAGATTCTTAACTTGGGGCCAGGGAGATGGCTCAGTAGAACAGGTGCTTCCCTGGCGAGCACAAGGGCCTGAGTTTAAATCCCAGTTCCACAAAAAAAAAAAAAAAAAAAAAAGATTCTTACTTAAATTTCTAATAACATAAAGGCAACATTTTTATTTTAAAACCCTAGTTTATACATAATTGCATTTATATAAGAATAACTAGGGACCTGCGGAAATAACTCAGTGGCGCAGCACCTGCCCGACAAGCCCAAAGTCCTGAGTTCGATTCCTGGTACCAAAAAAAAGAGTAACTTTAATTTTTCTTTTTTTAATTATTATTTTTTATGTATTTAGCCTACAGGGTCTCATTACACAGATTGGATTCATAGTGATCCTCCTGCTTTCAGCCTCCCAAGTGCTGGGATTACAGGTGTGCACCACCACACCCAGTCTTAATCCCAGTATCAGTGCACCCCTAGGGTGGGGCCAGCACAGCTGTGGTACCTGGTTTTGAACCCTGATCCCTGCGTTGTGCCTAAGCAGGTACTTTAGTCCACTGAGCTATTTGGCTGGCCCAATTTTTTTCTTTTATTTTGTGCTACTTAGTGTTGAGTCCAGGTCCTAGTACTTTACCGCTGAGCTATAGTGTCTACTCTATGTGGTTGTATTGAAAATTATTTTTTGAATATTTGAAGAAATTCTGAAACTTTAAGCTTGTCTTCAGCATGCACTAACATTTTGGGCAGAATCATACTTTGTTAAAACACTGGATGCTGTTAGCATGAGTGTATGTGTCCCTTTCTCACTCCTCTAACAGCCAAAACTTTCTCCAGACATTGTGCGTCTCTGGGGAGCAGAACTGTTCCCTAGTTGTAAAGCACTAGTCTACATTATCTGTATTATTAAGGAGAAAATTCACATTATTGCTGTCGTGGTTTGGGGTTTTTGCAAGGGGAACAGTATAATACAGGGCATTTTATGAATCACTCAAAGAATCATGTACAAGGAGTGCAGGAAATCTGTCCATACACTAAAGGCCAAAGAGTCCAGCTGAGGGCCTGGATCCTCATATCCTGCTTGAGTCTAGATGAAAACCTAGAGTTCATAGCAGTGCCTCCCACAAGTCCAGTGGGAGGCCCAGAGCATGACAAAGTCTCGTGCAGGCCCACCTCCTGGATCTGTGCTGGAAAGGCCCAAAGCTCAGTGGTGGGAAGTAGAAAGTCTGCCAGGACGATGAAGGACCTGTGCCAGCAGGCAGAGGGATCTGAGCTGGGGCTAGGAAGCTATGCTTGGGGTGAGAACCAGAGCTCCCACAGTCATCCTCAGCAACAGTGAGGTCCCAAGCTCCTCTAGCGATGAGGAAAGCTGAGTTTTTACTAGGAAAGCCAATGCTGTAAGCTTCTCCATGAGGCTGAGCAGTGCACCATCTGCCCCTCCAGAGCCAGGAAGCGATGCTGAAGATGAGGCCTAGAGCCCCTCCAAAATGAACTGTAGCCATTCTCAGCGACAACAAAGGCCCTGAGCTCCTCCAGTGGCAAGAACAGCCAAGTTCATCAGCCAGCATGACAAGGTCACCCAGCAGAACAGTCCAGGAGAGCCAACCCTTCCCAAGCTCCAACAGCTCCTCCAGACAGCATCTCTAACAGCATCTTGACAGCTTCTCCGGTTCTGCCACTTACACTGCTGGCAACAACCCTCGAGTGGGCCCCCACACCCAGCACCATGGTTGTAACAAGTTGACCACCAGTTAGAAACCTACTGCAGTTGCTTTGTATTTTATTTTATTTTTTAATATTTATTTATTTATTTGTTTATTTAGTGTGTGTGTGGCCAGCTCAGCCCACCAGGGGGCGGGCCTGGCTGGCATGTGGTGCTGGGGATTGAACCGCGGTCCCGCGGTCCCTGTGTTTTGCTTAGCTTAGCTTGTTCTAAGTAGGTGCTTTAGACCACTGAGCCATCTCACCAGCCCCTGCTTTGTATTTTAGAAAGTAAAGGAAAAAAAAATTTTATGTCCTATTTCTTATTTTCTCTTATCACAATGCACGTAATGAAGAAACATTTACAGATACTTTAGAAATTTTAAAAGATGAAGTATGTTCATGGATGGTGTTGAGGTGTCAGATGGTCAGGTACTCTCTTAGTTTGCTTTTTATCTTTTTCATTGCAGAAAAATCTTATTTATTTTTTGTGTATTTAAAAAAATTTTTTTTGAGACAGTTCTTGTTATATAGTTCTGACTAGCCTTGAGCTCAGTGTATAGCCCTTTGTGGCTGAGAACACACAGAGGTCCTCCTTCCTCTCCCCTCACATGCTAGTGTTATGGTAGGTGCCACCATGCCTGGCTTAATTCTCTTTTTTTAATTTGTGAAAACTTAGTAGAGTTTTGATTTTTGTAACTGTTTAAAAACCTCTGGAAAGAGGAACAGAATGAAATATACTTAAGTGTTGTTTCTTTATCTTTTATTATTTGAAGATACTATATTTTAAAGATCATATGAGTGATATAAATACATTGTCTTACAAAAAGTAAAAGAAACAATGTTAAGGACCAAAATACAGAGTAGAAAACTCTGCGTCTTCCCTTGTCCTATTCAGGTGTTTTTCTTGCCAAAGCGACCATCGCTAAAGCATGGTGTGTGTCCCAACAGCCCTTTTTCTTTTATTGACATGTACACATACAGGAGTAGGTAGATTTCAGTGTTCGTTGCTTTCTCTTTCCCTTCCATTTGATGGTATTTTTGAAGACCTCTGTTCATATGTAACTGTGTCTACCTAGTCCTTCAAGCAGTGGCCTCACAGTTCGTTCCTCTATGTACATTTACGCCTTTGTCAGCTTTTGAAGTTACTGCGCTGTTGGGGTAGTTCTGCTCCTGGTTCACACTCAAAGCTTTGTACCTGGTGTCGTGTTCTGCTAGTGCCTTTGGCAGGTGCTCATGTGGTAGCCTTTCCTCAGGGTTCCTGGTGTGAAGTATGTAATTCCAGGAATTGTTTCTGTTTATTTTTTTCCTGGGGCGAACTTATTTTTTTATCCTGTGGTCAGTGAAATGCAAAACCTGTTTTTCTTGAATAGGTGCTATAAACAGCTAGGTGACAAGGTGACTGCCTCTGCAGTGCAGCAGTACTGGCTGAATGAAATGTTTCCCACTGACACTTGATTCCCATGCCCTGCAGTTTCCCCCACTCAGACCCCAAAGCAAGTCTTGCAGGACTTTGCTTAACTAAGTCAGAGGCTGATATACTGCATAGTACACCAGTCTTTCTTAGGTATCTTTTTTTTTTTGTTTTTTTTTTGTTTTTTGTTTTTATTCCCTGCCTGCCTTTTCCCTCTTATTTTTGTTCCTTCTCCAGGTGTTATTTGATTTCCTGTAAGTGAGAAACAGAGTTTCCAAGTTCTAGTCCCACATTTTCACTTGGCTGTGATGACAGTGCCTTACGATGAGCCTGTTGTGGAATTTTTACTTCTGCCCTAGCGCTCTTGTCTGCCACTTCTGATCACACACCAGCCTTGCCTGCTTTTCCTGCTTCTGCAGGTGACACCAGGCTTAACATCTTGGTGGTTCACTTGGAGCCTTCTTTCTGAAAACTGTGTTAAAGGATGTGTAGAAGCATAGGGATGGGAGAAAGCACAGACGAGAACCCCAGATTCCACACCAGATCCTGTCCTGGCTGCTTGCACCTTTGTTTTAGGCAAAGGTAACTGGTCAGAAAATGAAGTTTACAAATTCTTGTTTTTTCTTTTGGGGATGCAGTTTCTCAATCCTAATTCAGTTTTCTGATCACCAAAGCTGGACAAGGCCAGAGCTCTATTTGTCTGGTTTAAATGAGCCTAGGCCAAGAGGTGGGTGGATGTATGTTAGAGTTAATGACCAAGCCGAACATGGTGGTCTGTCCCTTTACTCCCAGCATTTGGCAGGCTGAAACAGGAGGGTCCTGGGAGTTT